CGATTTCGCGGCCCGCGCCAGCGCCGGGGTCTGTGCCGCGGACTCGGGCACTGCTCACCCTCCACCTGAGGGGTGAGACGGGAAAGCAGTGCGGCCTGGGGGTCCCAGCTCTCCCAGGACCCTGGAATTGGGGGGCCGTTGCGACCACCCACTCGGGGGTGCCTGACAGGGCCGCGTAGGGGCTTCAGGGTTCGCCAGACCTGGACACTGGGGATCAAGTTGAGGCAGAAGGGCCCTAATTTTCATCAGATTTCCAAAGGAACCCTTTCCGTATAGGACCCACTGTAATCATGGAAAATAACTATTCTGGAGCTCTGACCGCAAACATCCCTTTTAGGTTGTTTTTGTTTTGAGTCTCTCTCTGTTTCCCAGGCTGGAGTGTAGTGGCGCGATCTCAGCTCACTGCAACCTCCCGCCTCCCGGGTTTAAGCGATTCTCCTGTCTCAGCCTACCGAGTTGCTGGGATTACAGATGTGCTACCACCACGTCGGGCTAATTTTTGTATTTTTTGTAGAGATGGGATTCCACCATGTTGACCAGGCTGGTCTCAAACTCCTGAACTCACATGATCTGTCCGCCTCAGCCTCCCAAAGTGCTGGGATTACAGGTGGGAGCCACTGCGCCCAGCCATCCCTTTTAGTTCTATCAGCAACCTGTGTATGTAGGTCCTGTTATCATCTCTTTGCCCAGTGAGGAAGCAAAGCCCAGAGCCCTTCAGTGAATTATCCGGGAATTCATAGCAAAGATGGCATTCATGTACTTCCTTTTCCTTTTTCCTTTTCCTTTTCCATCGTGGGGTGAGTTGGCCTTGGAACCAGGGCATTGGCTTCCCAGTACAAAGGGCTTATTCAGCCCCAGGGCTGCCCTTTAGATGGTTTTATCATCTCTCCACAGGGCCCTGAAAAAAACGCTCTTCCTGGGTCCGGCCAGAGGTTTAGAGAGAGACGGGTTCGACTCTAAGGCCTGAAAAGGAACAAGGCCCACCAGAAGCAATGGCCACCGTCCCTGACCTCCAGCCCCTGCCAGCCTTGGAGCAGGACCTGGAACAGGATGAGATCCTGATTGTGAAGGTGGAGGAGGACTTCCGCTTGGAAGAGGAGCCCTCCGTGGAGTCGGAGGACCCCAGCCCTGAGACTTTCCGCCAGCTCTTCCGGCTCTTCTGCTACCAGGAGGTGGCTGGGCCCCGGGAGGCCCTGAGCCGCCTCTGGGAGCTGTGCTGCCGCTGGCTGCGGCCGGAGCTGCGCACTAAGGAGCAGATCCTGGAGCTGCTGGTGCTGGAGCAGTTCCTAACTGTGCTGCCAGGGGAGATCCAGGCTCGAGTGCGTGAGCAGCAGCCGGAGAGCGGTGAGGAGGCCGTGGTCCTCGTGGAAGGGCTGCAGCGGGAGCCCAGGAAACACAGGCAGCGGGTGAGGTGGGGGGCATTTTGACCCTCAGGTGAGGAAATGGGGCCCTGCTGCTGGGGTCTGCAGCTGGAGATTCCTTGCTCATTGGGTGACTAAGTGTAGCTGCCTGGCCCCTGAACCCTTTTGAAGAAGGCAACTGCAAAAGGTTACTCAGCCTTGCCCAATGGACGTCCACCCTTTGATTAACCTCATCCTACCCCGATAGCCCTTTATTAGCTAGTGCAAATGGTTTGTGAACACTGTCCTAGGATAGGCCAAACAGGTGTTTCTTTTTCTTTT